CCTAAACCCCTAACCCGAAACCCTAAAGCCTAAACCCTAAAGCCCTAAACCCTAAACACTAGACTAAACCCTAAAACCTAAACCCTAAACCGCAGTGCCTGTCGGCTTTTGATCAGCGGCGGCAAGGCGCAGCAAGCCTCGGGTTCGCAGGCGCCATCAGTCTTTGCTTGTGATTTCGGGCTTCCGGTCTTCCCTAAACCCTAAACCTCGGGTACCCAGGGAGCCCAATACCCCTGAAATAAGGAGTATACCTTAAATTATAGGGGCCTTAATATTATGATTTAAGGTATATTCCTCAATTAAGGGGTATTGGGTTCTCTGGGTACTGTCCCCATACAGCAACAGTCTATGATAGGGCTACTATCAAAGGGCCTTATATATCCATATTATGCATAATACTCAACTGTTACTGAGTGGGGGCGGTATCCAACCTAATCCCTAAACCCTAAATCCTAAACCCCAGACCAAAAATCCTAAAACCTAAAACGAAGCCAGCATCAGTGGCGTTACCCATAGGCCCCCAAGTAGTTCCTTTGTACGGTTATTATTTGGAATCCTATATGGTAATCCCAAAAAGGAACTACTCTGGGGCCTATGGGTAGGACAAACATGGCCCTGGCTGGCACTCTGCAGGCGGGTGGCTGTCGTTCCTCGTTGTTGGCTCGGAACGCAGTCCTCACGGTTTGCAGCGTTCCGGTCTCCTACAAGCTTTGTATGCCCTACCCATAGGCCCCTAAGTAGTTCCTTTTTAGGGTCATTATTTAGAATCCTAGAAGGTAATCCCAAAAAGGAACTACTAAGGAGCCTATGGGTATGCCCTAAACCCTACACCGTAGCCAAATCTAAAATATCACAGCGTAAGAAACTATGAAGCCTAAGACTCCAGTACTCCAAACAAACTAAAAACCCAAAGCCTCAACCCTCAAAGCCAAATCCTAAACCCGAAGCCGCGGATCACCCAAACCCGACAACCCAAACCCTGGATCGTACACCCTGACAACAGAAGCCGAAACCCAGCAAATTTACATCGGAGGGCTTGTGAGCCTTCGGCGGTACGCGGCCCCAAGGGGCAGAAGTGAAATCACAATCAAGGTTCAACGAAAGCTGTCATAGAATTAGTCCAGAGTCCCGGCCCCTAAACCCTATAAACCCTTGGGTTTAGGGTTTAGGGTTTAGGGTTTAGAAGCTGTTTTGGTTCACAAAAAGTTGTGAAGGCCTGATCGAGGGTTCTACAAGGGGGGTTCCTGGATGAAAGCCTTGTAGGTCACCCTTACTTGTAAAGACTTAAAGTTTATGTCGAAGGTTTATGACGGAGAATCTCAAGGTTCTGTCGGGGTGCTACAACACACACACAAACATATTGCTGACGATGCAAAAAGAAAAGGAGCGGACGATGGTGCAGCAGAAAATGACGACGACCGTGAAATACATATGGTATAAGATTATCATGATGACTGTGATCTGTTTCGGTGGTGGCGGTGATGCCGGCCACGGAGGACCAGCCCACTTCTGGAGGCGAGATTCCGCGAGGCCAGATCCACCAACAAATGCCATTGCAGCCATATGGGTAGGCGGCAGGAATGGTGGGTTAGAACTAGGCCCAGCTTATAAGACTCGATGCCTCTAGCCTCGTCACGCTGCTTTCGAGAAGTTTGGGGTGCCTTTGAGAGGTACAGGCAGCTTCGGAATCCTCATCGCTAAACCCAGAGAGCCCAATACTCCTTAAATAAGGAATATAGCTTAAATTATAGGGGCCTTAATCTTATGATTGTAAGGTATATTCCTTAAATAAGGGGTATTGGGCGCTCTGGGAACTATCGCAGAGTAGCAGGCCCCGTTTGGATGCTTCCAACGCCGAGCTGGGGTTGAACAGTCTGGAGCGTAGCTGGGGAACTACAGCTCTATCCATGGGCCCCTAAGTGGTTCCTTTTTGGGATGACGTTATAGGGTTCTAAGTATAAGCCATAAAAAGGAACTACTTAGGGGGCTATGGGTATCCCTAAACCCTAAACCCTAAATCTAGACCTATGTGAAAAGGAGTCTAGGGCAACTACAACCCTAAGCCCCAAAACCTAGGAAGCCTTGTGTGCCCTTCCGCCCCGAGCGGGTCATAAGCCAAAGCTAAGCTTGAGCCAGCAAAGCCCTGGGGCTACAAGGCCCAAGGCCGCCTGATATATAGGGGCCATAAAAAGTAGATTTGGGTTTGGGGATACACTACCCAGAGGCTCTATAGTAGTTCCTTTTTGGGATTACCTCACAGGATCCTCAAAACAAACCACAAAATGGAACTTGCAGCCTATGGGTATAGTGCACCTGTAACAGTACATCACAGGCCCTGCAATGGCCCTCTAAACGAGCTGAGCCGGCTGATGACGGCTTTAAGACACCCAGGTCTAAGACTTTTTCAGGTGGGTAGTTACCGCGATAGGAGCCTTTTAGAAGGTCTATATTCCTTATAGAAGCCTTGTAGAAGCCCTATGTTGCCCTAAACTCCCCACCTGTAGTTTCCTTCAACTAGACCCTAAACCCTGAACCCTAAACCCTAAATCCTAAAACCGTAAACCCTAAACCCTAAATCCTAAAACCCTAAACCCTAAACCCTAAACCTTAAAACCCTAAACCCCTATTCCTTTAAGGACACCTAGGCCGAAAGACTGTCGGACGCCCTAAAACCGGAAGGCCACCAGCGCCTACGGTCGGAAGCCTCGTCCAACAAACTGGCGGTTTAGGGTTTATAGCTGTATAGGCTTTATAGGTTGTATAGGCTTTATAGGGTTTACAGGGTTTAGGGTTTAGGGTTTTCAGGGCTTAGGGTTTATAGGGTTTTGGGTTTTAGGGTAGTTGAGGACTGGGCACTGCCCCCATACAGTAATTAGTCTACAATAAGGGTACCGGTGAGGGCCTCATACATCTGAGAGGTGGCGGTAAGAACTTTTTGCGCCCAATAAAGTTTGAGTTCGACGCTTTCGTGCCTGCTTTCTCCAAGCGCAAAGCCCAAATGCTGACCGGTAGTTTCAATCAATGCCGAATCTCCTTATGGTTTAGAAGGATTTCGCGGGAATTGACAAGGCCTCAGAGTCTTTACTGGCCTTTTGTAAGGGCCGCTTCAGGGCACCGTATTCCGAGATCCACATATTAATGCCTGGGCTGGAATTCAAACCCTAAACCCTAAACCCCTGAACCCTAAACCCCACAAAGACCCTAGGTGGCTGAGGCCTAGGCAGTAGGGTCCGTAGCTCTTCAGGTACATTCCAATTGCAAATGGCCGCGAACCTCTACGACACGAGCCTTAGTAACTTTTGATAACAGTTTCAGCAAGACTTTGCCAGGAGTTGTATACTGCTTTCTAATTTGTTATTGGGTGGTAGGGCTTCGGAGGATCTTACAGAGGAGCATTGCTAATCAGGGGACATCACCGCTAATATTCCCCCTTACATTCTACCCGGTCAGCCCCAAGCTTGACTCCTATAGACCATTCAACGCTCGGCGAAGAGACTACAAAACGAAACACCCTACAGACACAAACCCCGACCCCCAACATCTCGATGACCCCTACTATAGGAGCTCAGTTGCCTGTACAGCACGGTACTGGGCTATGGGTACTAGAAGCTTTATATAGGGCTTAAGGGACAGTAACCCACTATGTAGGTAACTGGGCTCCTAGGGAAAAACCCTAAACCCTGAACCCCTAAACCCTAAACCCCTGAACCCTAAACCCCTAAATCCCTAAAACCCTAAACTCTAAACCCTCGGTGGTGTACATTGTACCTTTTGCTTTCAGGTGCTCGCCTTCGTCCCTGCCGCGGGCGGCCTCTACAAAACTTGTCATCTCTAGCTCGCCGACGCTGCACAAACATGAATCTACATAGGCCCCTAAGTGGTTCCTTTTTGGGATTGCCGTATAGGATTCTAAATATAAACCATAAAAAGGAACTACTTAGGGGCCTATGGGTATACACCGATTCGGTGGCAGGAACAGAACGCTTCAAAGCCTGAAACGGGGATCGCAGATCCTCTGAGGTAGAAGTCCTAGAAGCCGGAATTTTGGAATCTGGGATTGGTTTGCGCTTTGCTCCTTCTCAAATCCAATTAGTGCACCATAAGTCCTGAACCTTCCAACCCTAAATAAGCCTTCTAAACCCCAAACCTTATGCCTCTTCTGCGCAGAGGCCCTGAACCCTACACCCTAAAGCAAGGTTCAGGGTTCAGAGTTCCCAAAGACTCCAAACCGCCTTGATCAAGTAATATCCCGTAACATTTCAGTAGGAATATGTAGGAATCTTGGTGTACTTTAAGGGGATCTTCGCTAAGTGGCAAACAATGTGTTTGAATGAAGATACAGCAGCTGAATTTATTAACAAGTGTGCGTGCCAATTCATGCCTGGCCACCATCATCACCGTAATGGTGGCCTTAACGATTTGACACGGTTTTGCTACGTTACAATATAATTCTCCAGGGACTGCATGGACCCTCTAGTCTTCGGCTAACTGAATAGGCATCTATCCTAAACCCTTCAGCCCCTCAAAGGGCCTTGCCGAAGGCCTTCGTAAAGGACCCCCGCCGGCCAAAGGAAGCTCTAAGCACCGCTATCCTGCTCCGACGGTGTCAACTCACGCACCTGGCCGCAAATCGCAGGGATTTGGGGTTTTACACTTAGGGCATCATTTGGCCTTTAGGCTTTCATGAGTTCTAGGGTTTAGAATAGTTTGGGGTCTAGGTTTTGCCGTAAACTGGCCCATAAAACCACCTTCATTCCGCGAGAAAACATATCACTGAGGAGCTGTAAAGCTTTAGGTGTATCAGGCTTCGGGAGAGTTGTGGGTTCGGGTGGTTTAGGC